TATATTTTGTGATTTTAAAAATAATGTCAGGGGAAGAACAACAAACCATGGAGGAAGGGAGACAGTGGTCAGTGTAAGATATGAAAATAATAATTTATAATCTATCAAGGGGCCATGAGGTTGGGGGAGAGCAGCTGATACCAAGGGCTCAATAGAAAGTAAATGTCTAGAAAAGAACAATGGCAACATAGGTACAAATGTCTGATACAGTTGATGTGTGGATCGTAACAAGAGTTGTAAGAGCCCCCAATAAAATGATCTTAAAAAAAAAAAGAAAGAAAATTTTAGTTTGCTTGGATCCACAATCAATGCTCATGGAAGCAGCACTTAGGAAATCAAAAGACCAGTTGCGTTAAGTAAATTTGCTGCACAAGACCTCTTTAGAGTATAGAAAAGCAAGGATGTTACTTTGAGGACTAAGATAGGCCTGACCCAAGCCATGGTATTTTCAATGACCTTATATGCAGTTGAAAGTTGGACATTGAATAAGGATGGTTGAAGAAGAATCAATGCATTTGAATAATTGCGGTGCTGGAGAAGAATATCGAAAGTACTTTGGACTGCTGAAACGACAAACAAAATCTGTCTTGGAAGACATATGGTCAGAGTGCTCCTTAGAGGCAAAGATAGCGAGACATTCTTACAGATTTTGGACATGTTCGCAGAAGGGAGCGGTCCCTGGATTAGGATATTGTGCTTAGTAAAATGGAGGGACAAGGAAAAAGAGGAGGGACCTTAAAAGAATGGATTGATACAGTGGCGCTACGACGCGCCCAAGCATAGAAACAATGATGAGGTTGGTGCAGGATGCGGCAGGTTTTCGCTCTGTTGAGCACAGGGCTGCGATGGGTTGGAACTGACTTGGTCCCGCCTAACACTAAGATACACTTTATGGGAGAAAGCCAAGGCTTTCTACTCCTGGAACGAGTTACGGTCTTAGAAACCCAGAGGGGCAGTTCTACCCTGCCCTATAGGCCACCATGAGTGGGAATCAACTTGATGGCAGTGAATTTGTTTTTGTTTTTGTTTGGGGGTATGGGGGTGGTGTTACACACAATAGTGGTTGCAAGTTGGGTTGCTAACCTCCAGGTCAGCCCTTGGAGCCCGACAGCCATGAGGAAGATGAGGCTTTGTAATCCCGTAAACAGTTAAACTCTTGGAAACCCCAAGAGGCAGCTCTACTCCGTCCTATGGAGTCTCTGTGAGTTGCCGGTGACACAATAACACTGAGGTTTTGGGATGTGCACTATGCTGGAACTTCCGTTCTTAGATCAGTACTTTAAAATATATCCTGAATATCACTCTGTATCTGTGTCTGGAGCTCATCAATTTCTCTTCCGCTGAAGAACATACTAGTTTGTGCACATACCTTGTTTGGTTCAACTAGCCCCATATTAATGATTGTGCTGGGTATTGCCAACCTTTTGCTATTACCAAAATATTCATTGCCAAATATTTTTTGCACATATTATTCTGCATTTTCCAAATGTCTATGTGATAAAGATTTTTAGAAGTATTTCTGTTCAAAGGATAAAACATATGTGCAATATTGCTAGATAAGCCAATGATTAAACCTAGTACTAATTTACATTGTTTTCTCATCAGAAAGAAGTCAACAAAACATATAACTGTGCATATTTAGGTCTTAGGGAAATTCCTGATACTCTACCAAACACAACAGAAGTTCTGGATTTCAGCTTTAATTTCTTGCCTGCAATCCAAAATACAACCTTCTGCAGACTCCTTCAGCTTATGCATTTGGATTTAAGCAGGTACGTATCTGAGCTTTCTGTGCATGGCTGGCATTTTACATAAGGAACTACACACTGCACTCATGTTGTTTCCAGGGCCTGGGGTGGGTTGTACCATCAAGCCTGCTTATCCTCTGTGTTAATGTTTCCCATGCAATATTTGTAGGCAGGTAAAACATCGTTTAAGGAAACAGCAAGCAGAGGAGAGGAAAGTAGATGGTTCTCAAAGTACTTATTGCAACAATTCAATTCAAGAAATGTTAAGGAAAAATGATAACAAAATGTAAACTAACTAAATGTCCTACTAAATCAAGATGTCCTGTTGGTGTATTAGAACATAGATGACCATTTTGGGGTGAGACCATGTAAAGAAAAATTTATCAGGGACACACACAAACCATCTTCTCTTTTCCCCCTAACTGTTTGACCTTAGTGGCAGTTATCAGTATTGAAAGCATGTTGGAGGACCATTGGACTGAAGTACAAGGCAACAGAGAGGGAGACAAAAGGAGGTGTAGTGTGGGGGGTATGTGGAAGAGAGGAGAAAGGTGCTCCCTGCAGGTGAGGGCTGAGAGTAACTCTGTTTCCTCGACTTTTTATTCAGCGGACGGCTACTTCAGCATGGGAGGATATTTAAATGGAGTCTATTGCTTCATCTTTATAACTCCCTGTATGATAAGCCTGGTGAATTCTCTCACCTGTCTTAGGGTTAGATGAGATTCAAGGATGTTCCTTGAACTTGCTTTCATGAACACAGTAAGAGAACAAGGTCTCTAGTTTCCTGATTCCAAGTCCAGAGTAAACCAGTGACCCTGGGCCACCTCCCCAACAGGATTCCATGTACAGGTGCTTAGAAACAAACCATTGAGAGAGACACTTGCCCTTTAAGACAGACTACAGATGTCATTCTGTTCCCTATACTTTTTGTCCTCAGGAAATTTATTTTCCCTCTTGTTTCGGTTCTTCTTTTTCGGGTGACACGGGTTTTATCCATTTTTAAGGAGTGCGTAGTGGGGCCAGGATTGCTTTTCCAGATTCAGAGTCCCAGAGTTCTCTCTGCTCCTGTTTTCAAGACGTGACAGAATCTGGCTTCATGCTTTCTACCCACCTTCCTCTCTACTCCACTTCTGACCTTTCGTCTGGCCACAAGTCGGCATTGTAAATAGTTTTCTAAACAGTAGTTGTTTCTTCATTCTTTCCAACAGCTCCCTATATCTTCACTCACTCGTCTACCCTGATTTTTCAGACCTTCCTCCCTGGAATAATCTTTCTTCTTCCTGAAGTATATTCCCAGGACTCTGGCCCCCATTCACTCTTTGATTGTCAGGTCTCTGAACGGAGTTACCTTGTTCATTTCATCTGTCCTTCCAATCTCTTTCGGATGGGTGCATCTTTTCCATCTCTTCAGGTCTGGGCGCTATACCCACTGCTCTCAAGTCGATTCTGATTCCTGCTAACCCCTCAGGACCCGGTAGAACTGCCCCATCGACTGTCTGAGACTGGAACAGACATCTCACCTTTTTCCTGGGGAGCCACTTGCGCGTCTGGACCTCAGACTTTGCAGTTAACTGTACAAGGGTTATCCACTGTTAAACCAGCATTTCCTCTTCACAGGCTACAGTCTCAGTCATTTCCCCCTGGAGATAATGAGTTCATCAATACCGTCAATTGTGTTGAACCTGTTGTATAAGCTATTCTAATTTCAATTATTATTACATTGATTGTTTCCACTTTTATAAGTTTCATTGGTATATATAAATTTTACGAACATTTCTAGTCAGTGGTGTTTCTGTTTCTTCTCATGATGCTTTTATTCTTAGTATGAGATTAAACATCCTAAGCATATTTTCATCCCTTCTCGTGGTATTTATCAGCTACAGCTGATTATTGTGGCAACGGCTGCTTTTGTCGATTTGTCCTCCGGCTGACGTTAGCTATTAGGCTTTCCTTAGATTTTTAGGGAATTTTCACTTGGAACTCATTTCTTTTTTGGAAATACATCTGAATTGTGTTGTTGTTGTTTACAATCCTATCTGGAATTTGATACTAATGAATTACTAATATTATCATGTGTGACCCTGGAAAACAAGCCTCTCCTTTTGGGAGCTGCTTCCTGAAATACCAGTGTGTTGGCCACTTGACTTAAAATTATTCAGGAGAGAGAGGCAGAAGCAGATGGAGAAGGGAAGCAGATAGGAAAACACCTCCATATGTGATCTATCACGGTGATGGAGTTCATGAAAGTCTCTCTACTAGAATCTCTACGTTAAGGTATGGAAGTTTTCCTGGTACGGAATTATATTCCCCCAGAAAAGGTTTGTATTTGCCTCCACAAGTTGCCTGAAGTCAGGGCCACCCTGGAGCCACTTTAAACTAAAATCTCGCCTTGAATTCCTTTATGGAGGTCTATGGCATCATTAATAAATTCGGCCCATCATTCTACGATGTTCACCTTCCCAACATAACTGCTGAAGACAAAGCAAGTGAATAAGCAAATGTGGTGAAGAAAGCTGATGATGCTGGGCTATCAAAAGATATAGCATCTGGGGTCTTAAAAGCTTGAAGGTAAACAAGTGACCATGTGGCTCAGAAGCAACAAAGCCCACATGGAAGAACACACCAGCCTGTGTAATCACAAGGTGCCGAAGTGATCACTTATCAGGCAACAAAGAACAAAAAATCATATCATTGTGTGCTCACCTCCATGATATGATCGCTGAAGACAAATGGGTACATAAGCAAATGTGGTGAAGAAAGCTGATGGTGCCCGGCTATCAAAAGGTATAGCGTCTGGGGTCTTAAAGGTTTGAAGGTAAACAAGCGGCCATCTAGCTCAGAAGCAACAAAGCCCACACAAGCACACCAGCCTATGCAATCACGAGGTGTCGAAGGGATCAGGCATAAGGCATCATCAGAACAAAAAATCTTACCATAGTGAATGGGGGGGAGTGCAGAGTGGAGACCCAAAGCCCATTTGTAGGCCACTGGAGATCCCCTTGCAGAGGGGTGTCGGGGAGGAGACGAGCCAGTCAAGGTGCGATGTAGCAACGATGAAAAATACAACTTTCCTCTAGTTCCTAAATGCTTCCTCCCACCCCCACTATCATGATACGAATTCTACCTTGCAAGTCTGGCTAGACCAGAGGATGTACATTGGTACAGATAGGAACTGGAAACACAGGGAATCCAGGGCAGATGATCCCTTCAGAGCCAGTGGTGTGAGTGACTATAATGGGAGTGTAGAGGGAGAGCGGTTGGGGAAAGGGGAACCGATTACAGGATCTACATGTGACCTCCTCCTTGGGGGACAGACAACAGAAAAGTGGGTGAAGGGAGATGTCCAACAGGGCAAGATATGACAAAATAATAATTTATAAATTATCAAGGGCTTATGAAGGAGGGGGAGCCGGGAGTGAGGGGAAAAATGAGGAGCTGATGCTGGGGGCTTAAGTGGAGAGGAAATGTTTTGAGAATGATGAGGGCAATGAATGTACAAAGGGGCTTTACACAATTGATGTGTGTATGGATTGTGATGAGCTGTATGAGCCCCTAATAAAATGATAAAAAAAAGAAACTGTAAAAATAAATAAATAAATGGATTCGGCCCATACCCCTCATGAGTGGAATGCTACCCTTACATAAGCTCAAAGTAGACTTCTTCTTTGCTCCATGCAGAGCCCAAACCAAGACATATCCGTGCAATCTCACTGTTTGAGATTTTTCTTTTCTTTTTTTTTATGTTCGTCCATTCAAGGTAACATTTTGAGTTTCTGGACAGTTTCCAGAGGCTTGTCTTTTTTCGTCCTTAAATTTTATGTGTATACATTGTTAGTGTAGCTACTCCTGCTTTAAATTGTTCCCCTTAGCATAAATTCACTGCTTCAAGGAAGACATTTTTACTAGAAATTAAACAATTGTTTGGTTTTAAGATGATTTCAAGGGATTTTTCTGGATTAAGGCTTACATATTATCTGAAGACAATAGTTTCAGGGTTCATCTATTCTCCATAACTCTAAAACGTGTAGTGCCTATGACATTTTGAAATTCTGTTCTGTATTTTCCCTCTTTTGATCAGGATTCTTTTTATGGGATATTTGATTAAAATGTTCATAAGTGGTAGCTGGACATCATCCATTTCTGGTCACATAGCAAAGGATACAGTTGTTCGTGAAAGCTATTAACCCCACATTCAATATTCTGCATCCCATTTCTGGCTTTCCTTCTTAGACGAATCCTTGTGCCTTGAATGGCCACTTTCAGGCCTTTAAGATTCTAGGCAGCATGCGACAAACTACGAAGCAAGACAGAAGCACTACACTGTGATTGGGCCAATTAACTGGAGTGCCCCATGAAACTATAACCCTAGACCTCCAAGCCATGGAACCTGATCCCAGGGTATTTGATTGTGTAGCAGCAGCTGTGGCAGCTCTTTGTTCTTGTCGTCATTGTTGCAAATACATCAGCCACGCCACTTTTATCAGCTCAACTTCTTATAGATGTACAACTTATTGGCAGCAATTACAACAATTGGCTGTGCATCCCAGCTTAATCAAGGTGATTTTCCAGCACTATTAAATGCTGTCTCCTTTTCCCACATCCTCTGGTAACCTCTGACAAACTTTAATCTCTATACATTTGCCCTTGTTAATTTTGGGGTCTTTTTATATAAGTAAGGCCATGCAATCTTCGTCTTTTTTGTGTGATTGACTTATTTCACTATTTATATGTCTTCAAGCTCCATCCATATATATTTATCTCTTGCTGTCAGGTTGTCTAAGAATTATATATGTATATATAATTATATACACACACATATATATGCTATTAGATTCTAATTGGGTAAATATTCTCCTGGGTGTAACTTATCTTTGCGCTTTTTATTTTTATAATCTGTTGATGAACAGGAGTTCGTTTTTATGAGTCTACTCTTTTATGTTGTCTTTTTCTGTTTGTGCTTCTGTTATTACTTTAGATAATCCATTGTTGAAAGCTAGACCTGGCAGTTGCCCTTTCTTGTTCTTCTAAGAATTGTATGATTTGAGTGTGCGCATTTAGCTCCTCCATTCCATTTGAATTTGATTTTGTGTTTGGTGTGAGGCCTGGCTCCTGTTTCATTCGTCCGCATGTTATTGTTGTTGGTCAATTCCGACTCGTAGCAACCCGACGTACAACAGAAGAAGACTGCCCAGGCCTGTGCCATCTTCACGGTTGTTCTTGTGTTTGAGCCACTGTGTCAATCCGTCTTGTCTAAGGTCTTACTCTTTTTTTGCTGCCCCACTACTTCACAAAGCATGATGTCCACTCCAGGGACTGGTCTGTCTTGACATGTTCAAAATACATGAGATGAAGTCTTACCATCCTTGCCTGTAAGGAGCATCGTGACTGTATTTCTTTCGAGGCGGATTGGTCTGTCCTTTGGGCAGTCCATGGTACTTCGATATTCTTCACCAGCACCATCATTCAAATGCATCCCTTCTTCTTCAGACTTCCTTATTCAACGTCCGGTTTTCCCATGCACATAGACAGCTAACTTTTCTAGGACCATTTAGTGAAGAGGTTATTCTTTCCCCATGGACTGGACCTAACACTTTTGTCAAGATTCTCAGTTCGAGTCTTTGGTCGATGTGCCCATTGCTTACATGCCAGGCTATTTTGATTTCTATCGCTGTCTCGTAGGTTTCTAAATCAAGAAATATGCTTCCTTCTACTTTGTTCTTCTCTCAACACTGCTCTGGCTATTTAGGGCCTCTTGTCATTCCATATAAACCTGACAAGTGTTTTTTGCTGTTTATGTAGGAATTCAATATATATTATATTGAAGTTACAGATCACTTCCAAAGATGTTGGCAGGACTTTCTATCCTGCTTGGGGGCCCAAGCTTGATCTCCTGCCCATGGCTCATACGGCTCATTAAAACTGGGCTCAAGGAGGGGAAGGTAGATATTTCTAGGACAAGGCTAGCTTGAGGGTGAATGTGCTCCTATGAATTCAATTTTTCTTTTCACAATTAACTTCTACGGATTTCCCTAACCTGGTATCCAGGGGTGCTAAGAGTTCATATATATCATCGCCAGTGTTTTTGTGCAATACCAGGATGAGTGTATCTGAACCTCTAGTGTTTCATATTTGCATCGAAGACTTTTACATATATTGTATTATGTGACAAAAGAGTCCTACAAAAAGTTATCATTTCTATACATTATCCATGAAAAAACTATCATGTACAGTAGTCATGACTTGCCCAGTATACCAGTTTCACATTATAGATCTTCTATATCATATATTATGTATCTCATATGATGCTTCATCCATTATTTAAGATAGTAAATAATCTTTTGGTTTTTGCCTACAATCAAATCATCTATTGTTCCCTATATTACAAACACAGATCTCTAAGAATCCACTCTAAAGAAAGAAAACATCTGAAAATTTCAAAATCAATGTTTTCCAAACTACTGCTATTTATTAATAATTTAGTTGGCCTTCTGTGGATAGTGAAGAGAGAATGTTAAGTTTGACCTTGAAGAATAGCATTACTGTTTTACTATACTCAAAAGGTAGCTTTGTCAAATGGCATCGTGGCATATGTCACTGTAGCCACTTGTTTTTCTTTATTCTAATTTATTAGCCTTGAATATAATCATCTTATCTTTTTAAGGTGCCAAGTGAACTGGTTACATGAAGCCACTTTTCAAAGCCATTACCAGCTGAGCACTATTGTACTGACCGGAAATCCTCTGATATTCATGGCAGAAACATCACTCAATGGGCCCACATGTCTGAAGAATCTTTTCTTAATCCAAACAGGAATATCCAATCTTGAATTTATTCCAGTGCACAATCTGGAAAATTTGGAAAGCTTGTATGTTGGAAGCAATCACTTGACCTCCATCCAGCTTCCCACAGACTTTCCAACACGGAATCTGAAACTTCTGGATTTTCAGAATAATGCTATCCACTACCTCACTAGAAAAGACATGGACTCTCTGAAGCAGGCCACCAACCTAAGCCTTAACCTCAATGGCAATGACATTAAAGGCATTGAGCCTGGAGCTTTCCATTCAAAATTCTTCCAGAATGTGAACTTCGGAGGGACTTTTGACGTGTCTGTTATATTTAAGGGGCTGCAGAACTCCACTATTCAATCTCTCTGGCTTGGGACATTTGAGGACCTGGACGATGAAGACATTACTTTGGCCATGCTCCAGGGACTTTGTGAAATGTCCGTGGAGAGCATCAACTTCCAAAAGCACCACTTCTCTGACGTCTCACCTGCCACGTTTCAGTGCTTCACCCGGCTTCACGAACTGGACTTGACGGCGGCTCACTTGAAAGAGCTACCCCCCGGGATCGAGGGGATGAACTCACTGAAGAAATTAGTGCTCAATGCCAATAGCTTTGACCAATTGTGTCACATCAATGCTGCCAGTTTCCCCTCTCTTACACACCTCTCCATCAAAGGCAACCTGAAGGCGCTTGACTTTGGTGCTCGCTGCTTGGAAAGACTACAGCGCCTGCAGACGCTGGACTTAAGTCACAATGACATAGCAGCTTCCGACTGCTGCAACCTGCAGCTCCAGGGCTTGCCTGGCCTGCAATGGCTAAACCTCAGCTACAATAAGCCCCTTGGACTCCAGAGTGGGGCTTTTACGGAAAGTCCTCACCTTGAACTCCTGGACTTGGCATTTACCCCTTTGCATGTCAATGGTCCACAAAGTCCCTTCCAAAACCTCCCTTCCCTGCAGGTCCTCAATCTATCCTATTGTCACCTTGATACCAACAATCCACATCTTCTAGCCGGCCTGCCAAGTCTCCGGTATCTGAACTTACAGGGAAATCGCTTTAAAGATGATCGTGTCCCAAAGACCAACTTGCTTCAGACAGTGGGCAGCTTGGAGATTCTGATTTTAACCTCTTGTCATCTCCTCTCCATAGACCCGCAAGCATTCCACGGCCTTGAAAAGATACTCCATGTAGACTTAAGCTCCAACAGCCTATCAGGCAATAGCATTAGTGCTCTTAGAGATCTTAAAGGGCTCTACCTCAATCTGGCTGCCAACAGCATTAGCATCATTTCCCTCCAGGACCTTCCCACTTTGTCCCAGCAGAGCACTATTAATTTAAGTCACAATCCCCTGGACTGCACTTGTTCTAACATCCATTTCTTAACCTGGTTCCAAGACAACCTGCAGAAGCTGGAGGCCTGGGAGGAGACCGTGTGTGCCGTGCCCCCACCTTTAAGGGGAATGAAACTGTCCGCGGTCCAGCTGTCCTGCGGGCTGACAGCGGTGGGTATTTTCTTTCTCATTGTCCTTTTGTTCTTGTTCCTCATCCTGCTCATCTTTGCGGTTAAATTCTGTCTTCGCTGGAAATACCAACACATTTAGTGCTGAAGGTTTGCAAATAAAGTGTTCCATGAAATTCTATGAAGTGAAGAAGCTGTCACCTGTTACTGACCAGAGACTTTGGAGACTGGTTCATAAGACTGGGCTTTTCTTTTTTTTTTCCCCTTAAAAGCATCTTTCCCTTGAGTGTCTGCTAATGGAGCCTGACCGGCAGGCAAACTGAGTGGGGGCAGATGTGGCTGAGATGGACACAACTCATTTCCACTCCTGGACGGTGACAGGAAAAGGCAAGAAAAGGAACACATCAGAAGGTTCTCTCCCTTCCACTCAGGGACATCCCTTCGAACACCTCCCACTCTGCCCCTGAGTGGAGACACCAGCCCGCCCTCCCACTGGGCCACCCTGAAGCTCTCCAGTCACCCACTGGCCTTCACCCACAGTGAGGCATTGTGCTTGGGTCTGGGTTCTCAGTAACAGGACCATGGGGAAACTTAGAAGGCAATGTCTCAGTACTTCTCTTACATGGAAAAAGCAAAGCGCTCTGAATTTAAAAGAACAGGCGGAGGAATGAATCCTGCCACCAAACAGACTCCATGAGTGTTTCCAACCTTTGTTGTTGTCCCGATGATGGAGTCCATTCAAACTCAAGGCCACCGCATGTCTCTACAACACCCCTGGGGGACAACTAGCTACCACAAAGAAAAAGAGAAAAAATGCTGCTTTTGCCCAGAGGCTTAGGGTTCCAGCCGCATATACTGTACTTACTTCAGAAGCTTCAGGGAGACTCCTGGTGGGTATTCGTCCTCTTCTATTACAGGTCTTATAGCCAAGTGGGCCAGGGTCCAGATCGCTCTCCTCCTGTGGTCCATGGGTCCTCAGAAGCCTCTTTCCCACCTGATTAGTAAGATAAGGGGGGTTTACTTCCCAGGCTGCCTTTCAAAAGCCTATTTACCTTGCAGAGCATTGGAGATGCTCACTTACAAGGCAAACATGTGGGAGAAACAGCCCTTCCACTAGCTTCCAGCAAGACAATGAGACTGGCTTAGGCAGAAATCGTTTCTGTTGAGGGTGGGGTATTAGTAAAGGTTGTATACCAGTCTATCTGCAGACACATGGAAGTGATGATGCTGGGCCTTTGGTTTTCCCAAGACCCAAAGGGTCACACCCATGCAGGAATCCAGCTTTCGAAGTCTGGGCTGCGGGATGAGGGAAATCAGCTTTTACACGTGGAGACGCTGCACTTCTGAGGCTTGGAACCAATGTTAGGATATTGCTGCTGCTCCTTTCTGATGAGTTGTTGAGTCATGAAATTAAAATCTTACACCCAACATGCTTATTTAAAGCAAATAATACTTTAATCCACTTTAAAACTAAAAACGAATGCAAAAGAATCCACGATGAACAAGTAAAGGTGGTGCTCTGACTGATCTTATTGGGCCTGAAGCAAAAGAGGAACATCAGTAACATTGATTCTGTCTTTATGTAAAAGCTTCTATTCTGTCCATCATAGACCATTCAGCACTCATTTCAATTTTTAAAGTATATTATTAAATACTGCTACTTTATCATTTACTGGCTATAATACATTTGCTATTGTTTTGCAGTTTAATACCATTTTGCAGTGTATTTTTATAAATTCCTTCACCGAGTCTTCCAAGTTTTGACTGTATCACCTGAGGCCAATACCTTATACACTTTTTCCTATCTTGGCCTTGAGGACTGGTGGGAGGTGAGGAGGATAGAGCCAAATTCCTAGGGCATGGCTAATCAGGGGCCTATAAGCGGGTGCCTGGTCCAGTTCTACTGGAAAGAATCTGTCTCCTTCCCCATCAGTATGGAAGCAGAACGTGTTCCAGATCCCCACATCTTCAACTCTCAACCCCTGGGCTCATTGACATCCTTCCTTCAAAGCCAAGGTTGTGGGAGAAGGCCAGGCCAACGAGAAAATGTTTCAGCATGGGGCAGGTACCTGCTCAGTGCCACGAGAAACCATCACTCTCTGCTCAATCAACAGTCATGGTAGCCCCGCCATGCTGTCTCCTCCCATCCCCATCTTTCCTCATTTGTTCTGCTTGCCTCCTCGAAGGTCAATTCTCCCAGCACAGGCAGAGTGATCCTTCTCAAACACGGATTCCCTCCCTACATCCCACCCCACCCCAATTTTCCCCATTGCACTTACTGTGCAGACTCCTGGCTCTGAGCTCAGGTGGTGCTTTGTGATCCATTTCTTCAAATTTCTCCCAGTGAGAAGTAGATTTTCCACTACACACATTCTGGTCATACCACTCTTCGTTCTGTTCCTTGGACATCATAGTAAATTGATTAACTCTGATACATTATTATAATTCATAAGACTTTCAGGGCGGGGCATGAGGGTGGAACAATAGAGTGGAAATTTGGGGGCGCAATTTCTCTTTACTGCTTTACATCAAGAAGAGTAGGCCAGGAGGAGGGCTGCAGTGAGGTAAAATTCTTTCAACGTGAGGGAGTTCAGGGCGTTAGCACTTGCTGTTTCATTTGCTTAGACCAGTGGTTCTCAATCTGTGGGTTGAGACCCTTTTGGGGGGGTCGAACGACCGTTTCACAAGGGTCGCCTAAGATCATCAGAAAACACATATTTCCGATGGTCTTAGAAACCAAAACACAGCTCCTCTAGTCCCCAGGCAGTTCCACCCACATGCATGTATTATGCCCACATACTAGTAACGCGGTGTGAAGACTGTGCTACCCATGCTACACCATGCTTCAAAACAAAATTTCATTTATATAATTTCATATAGTTTTTGTGACTAATCACTATGATTTAATTATGTTCAATTTGTAACAATCAAAATACATCCTGCATATCAGATATTTACATTATGATATTTACATAACAGTAGCAAAATTACAGTTATGAAGTAGCAACAAAAATAGTTTTATGGTTGGGGGATCATCACAACATAAGGAACTCTATTAAACGGTCCCGGCACGAGGAAGGTTGAGAACCACTGGCTTAGACGATGCTATCACCAATCCCCAGAAGGCTTCTTCCTACCCTTGAAGTCTCGGCACTGCTTTCTGCTCTGAGAGTGAAACTTCCTTGACCCCCCAAGCCAAACCAACCCCTAGACCACACCCAATCTACCACTCTCACAGTGAATTATTCACTGCATACTTGCCAGTGCTTGGAAAGCACTTGTTCATTTATATTCACTTATTGGCTGTCTCTTCCTGTCTTAGACTGGGTTTTCTAGAGAAACAAAACCAATGTAGCTTATATATTCTTCTGTTGAAAGAAATTTCTGTTTTTAAAAAAATGGCTCATACAGTTGTAGAAGTGAGCAAGTCTGAGTCCGGACAGGTTTCAATTCCGTGGGCTAGCAGTGAAGCTGAAGGCTTCTCCTGGCTCAGGTAGCTGCAGAGGCTGATGAAACCAAAATTTTCAAGCAGGCAGCAGGCTACAGAGCTGCATAAACCCAAGGTAATCAGGCTACAGAAGCGAATGAATCCAACATTGGCATGTCAAATGGGAGGCCACTGACGACTCCCAGTTTCCAAGGGCAATATGGCAGCCTGTTGGCTCCATTCCAAAGAACTAGAGGTTGATGGACCAGGTGCAAGATCCAGACTCAGCAAAACCAAACCAAACCAAACCAAAACACAAAAACTTTTCCACAATAGCCGCTTAAGCAGAGCACCCACCCAAGGCAATTAATTGCATCAGGACTGTGACCTGAGTAATGGTGAATGCCATCCAGTACGGAGAATTACAGTTGCCTGGCTGTGATAACAGTGTGTTGTGTCAGTTCATAGGGAGATACAACATGTCAGCTGCCCAAACACTGAGAATTCTGGCCCAGCCAGAGTTCTGAACTCACACTTCCCATCTCGCACTATCTTTGCAATGGTTTCTTCGGACATGGTTGTGCTTTGGTATGGGCTCAGTACATTTTTGTTTAAAAACTCATACTATTTATCCTACATTCTGGTCCCCGAAGCCTTAAAAAATCCATTGCTGTCAAGTCAGTTACTATTCATAGCAATTCTATAGGACAGAGTTGAAGTGTCCCAAATGTTTCCAAGGCCGCAGTCATTACAGAAGCAGACTGCCATATCTTTCGTCCACAACCCAGCGAGCGGGTTTGAAATGTCAACCTTCTGGTTATCAATCGCCTACTAAACCACTGAGCCATCAGGGCTTTTAAAAGACTCAGCACAGTTCCACCCTGTCAATTCAGGATCATAGTGAGACAGCCTCACGTTTCTGCCATAAGACAGCTAGTGGGTTTGAACTGTTGTTCTTATGGTTAGCAGCCTAGTGAGTAACGTACTCTGCCACTAGGGCTCCATTTACACTCAAACAAATACAAGCAATTCTAAGAAAAATGGGAGCTGCTTAGTTACCCTCTTGGTATTTGGATTCTGTTAGTTATAGATTTTCAACCAAATGATTCCATGTAAAGTCTTTTCATATGCAGTATATATATTTAACTGAGATAAAGTCTGTCTAACATAAAATTAGCCATTGTAAAGTGAGCAATTCACATTTATCACATTCACATCTCTCCTTATTCTGAATGATCCTTTTATTCATCCATACTCTGTAAGATTCTAGTTTTAGGCAACACCAACCCACTGAATTCTCTGTGAACTCTGGCCACTTTAAGCAATGTCCTACTATCTGAATTGAAGGTGAGTTGGAAAACAGTATTGTTAGAGCTCTCATGGGAGAGATATACCTCGGTCCTTGGCTTCCGGAGAGAAAGGATTCACGCCGAAGCCTGGTTTGTGATCCAATTGAGTTTATAGAGAACAGAGCATTTTTCAGGTTCTACAGTAAATGGAACACAAGCCAGACAGAGTCCCCACCCGGCACAATTGCGGGACTTGGCCTGGCCACTCCAGAGCGCAGCCCAGCTGGGTTACATCGAGTAGCAGCCGCTGGGAAAGAGAGAGAGCCCAGAACAAAACCTCTGGCCTCTTCAATTCCTCCGCTGGGAGGTGTGGTCGACAATACTGGTGGACCCCATTGGCTGAATCAAATTCACCTGGCTTAGATG